GATAGATAGATAGATAGATAGATAGATAGATAGATAGATAGATAGATAGATAGATAGATAGATATCAATATCAATATCAATTGTATACTTCTGTTTATGGCCTTTTGCTCTCATGTATATAATACATTATAATTATAATGTGAAAATTTAAGCCAATTAGCGTAAGTGAACAAATAAATAAAAATAAATAAAATCATATTCTTAACAGTTTGGTATAACCACTTGTTTACTTTATTGATGTTTCAATCCAAGCTTGAAATCTTTTTTCAAGACTTCAATTTTTTTTAAATAAATTGTAAATAAATAAATAGTAAATTATTACTTATGTCTTACCTGTGTCTAGGATGTTTTATACTTCAAGTAAAAATTATTACTTCAGTTGAAATATAGGCCTGTTGAAATCATAATTGTGAAGAACTAATAGATTTAAAACATGTTGATTGCTCCTGGTCAACTTGAATGAGTCAAGTTATTGTCACTTCATTCCTGTTTCAACTTTCATGAATGTTCTATAAAATATTACTTTCTGTGCAGCTGCGTCCATGTGTTCTGCTTCCCCCGGATCCACACATAGCACTCAGCCGTAGCCACCCACTAGCTGGGCATTCTGGCTTTGAACCGTGTCTCTGCTATGGAGACATCTTGCTGGCTTTCCTCTTCACTCCTGTGGAAGCAGGGATGGTGCCACCACAAGCTCAGCAACAGACACCTAAAATCTCAAGGCCCGCAAGCCCTAGGGAACTGAGCAGCAACCCTATTATTGTTTCTGGAAATGCAATTCCTTTGCGGCGCCATGATTTTCTGAGAACACATTTTAATCGGGCCACTCAATGTGAATTTTGTGGGAAAAAGGTAAGTTGCTCTAGGAATATAAATTACACTCTCTACTATAGAAATATATATTTGTATTTAACAAAGAAGCCAACATGTTGTGCTCTCTGCAGAAAAGACATTAGCATACTGGGGAAACAAAGAAAAAATGAGATGGTGTGAATGGCCAAAAATGAGATGGTGCCAATGTACACATTTTAAAAATGTTGCTGTTAAAAAGGAAATACTTCCATGTTATTATTAAAGCACCATCATCATTAAGTATATACCGACCTTATGATCAAGTAGGCTGGTGACTGGGAGGTCAAAGGTTCAATCTCAGGTCGTTGTCAGAAATTTGCTAGATATATTTAACGTCAGTAAGTTTATGGAATGGGCCAGAATAAAATCCATGGTTCTGCTATGATCAGTAGAGCTCTCTGATCCCTTCCAGGCATATGTTAGTCTGCCAAGGACTATGTATTATACGCGCAAGTTTTGATGAGCCACGGAATACCTACCCCCACTCCCATTCCTTTGCCAACATTAGTTGAATTAAGAATAATTGATAGCAATGAATGTTTTAAACAAAATCTGATAACCAGAATGTTCACTCCCATGTAATACAAACTATTTAGCATCAAAAAAGCAACAACAAATTTGATGCACAATTCCTTTCGTCAAAATATCCCAACTCCCCACTCCTCTCGCAACTAGCGAAGCGAGGGCTCAAGAAAACTTGTGTGGATAATATAGTCTTCCTCTTCCCTTCCTATCCATCTCCAAACCTCTCTTCGATGACACAGCCAGGTAGGGGAAAATAGAAGAATCATCGCAGCAGCGAATGTGGCACTTCCACAATTCATGGTAGTTGAACACCTCTTTTGTAGAAGAAATGTCTGTTCATTAATTACACTTTCTTTTGATATCTGATATCTTTGTGTTCATAAAGATCTCTTTGTACTTCCAACAGTATTTTGTACAAGTTTTAAAAGGATAAAAGGAAAAGTCTCTTTTGAAGCATGCCAACCAAATTATAGATTTTTTTATGCTTTATTCAAAGAATTATTTAAAAGGATGATTTTATAATTCTATTTGCTAACTTAGTATTCATGTCATTGTAAATAAATTTCTGAATATAGCTCATCATTAAAAAATTATTTTATAAATAAAAGTACTGTAATGATAGAGACAAAACTAATTAATTAGTGAATCAACATATATTAATTAAGTATAATAGCTAATGTAATACGATCAATCTGTATAACACAAGAAACAATTTTGCTTAATTTTACACCTTTTTAATAACAGAAGAAAAAATTAAAGTGAGTCCAAAAGAATTAATCCATTAACTCCCAGTGTCCTCATTTGAGGACATGCATTTCTCGTCAACTCAAATTTGCATCTTTTGCAATACTTGTGGATTTTATTTCTTCAATAGACATAGACATTCTAAACAAAACATATAAGCAAGTTTTTTCATTCTTCAATGCCTGATGTTGATTTCCCCGTGATAGTTATGGCTCTTGGCCAGGGTGTACCCATGACTTGGCATCAGTTCTAATCTTCATCTAAAACCATGTTTAGCTACTATATGCCTGTGGTTAAGTCAGAAAGAGAGGCTGGTGTATAGTAAACAGTGGTTGGACCGCAGCGAAGTTCTAACAGTTTTCTTACAAAAAAAATTGCTCATATAACCAACTGTTTGTGCTTTGCCTTAGTAGCAAATATTTAACAACACAACAATCGTGTTGCACTAAAAGTTGCAAAAACATGCTGCCAGAGGGCTCTAACAATTACTGTGCTATTCACAAGTGAGACGACAATGGGCAAGTGTTGTGTGCTCAAAATTAATTTGGGCATTTTGGGGGTAATAATCAAAATTGATTTTCTTCATTTATTCTCTGAAAATTTTGATGTTTCATCCTAAAATTGTTTGATTGCATTTTTTTAAGTCTATCTTATATATATTCTCTATAAATTGCATTCATTCTTCAGTAAAATAATATCACTGCTTGGAATAAGTTCTTTCATAAAGTAGTTTCTTACTTCAAACATTGCTTTTTGGAAAGATATTGAAACTATTATTAAATCATTCTGTACATTTTATGAATGATTTCTCGGATTTTAGATTTGGTTGAAGGATGCTGTGCAGTGTCGGGACTGTGCCATGACCTGCCACAAAAAATGTGTAGCACGCTGCCAGGAAGCTGCTGCGTGCTCTGGAGGTGAACCATCGACCACAATTAGACGGTTGTCAGCCCAGCCAGAAATAGTGACAACAGCTGCAGAGGAAGAGCCTCCGCCCACCCCAGTGCCCCAGCAACAGGTGAGAGCAGTGATTTCATGTTGCATTATCAAAGACAGAATAGTGATATTCAACTGTGTTTAAAAATTTGGTGAATTTCAAATTTCGGAATTATCTAAAATTTTTCTTTTCATTCTTTTCGTTTTATTTTATTTTATTTCATTTCGGTATTCACGTAATATTTGATGGTGTTTTCAAGTCCCAAATTTTTGTTTCTACTAAAAATGCTCATGACCAGAATGAACTTTTTATCTGAAGCGTTATCAATTCCAACAGACTTGGAATAATTTTGTTTCCTAATGAATTGTAAATTTTTCAAGCTAATAATGTGATCAGATCAACAGAAGTGTCTTGCAGGAATCATCTTGAGCTATCATGTTGAGTGCGAAAGATGCATCAGTGAGTGGGAGGGACACTAAGTCTGCCAGCAGCTGAAGCAGCAATGACAGTCTGCATCTATCAGCTTAGTGCCATGTCCACAGGGAACTGGTGGGGAGGGCCTGCGCCGTGGTGGTTTGGGCGGGCTGCTGGCAACGGCTGCTGCCCACGCTCGTGGGCTGAAACGTGCAGGCTCTGCCAACAACCTGGCATTACCTGAGGGGGGTGCAGGTGCTGGGGCAATGCCAGCTGCCCCTAGCCCAGGCCTGCCCCCCTCACGCAGTCTACCCCCCTCCCCCCAGCGTTCACCCCAGCCCAGTCGCAAGGTAACCCTGTCCCGTGCAATTGCACCAAGAGACTCCTCTGCCAGCTCATGGATTGCAGGGAGTTGCATGTTGCTTTCTTCTTTCACTTATCTTCTTCTACTCCTCGTCTTCTCTTTTATCTTTGCCAGAGCTGGAAATGATGCATGCCATATAGGTAATGCAGGTTGAGTAGTATTTCACATCCATCAGTTAATGTTACACTTTAAAGTACTAATGAATTTCCAAGTAGGAAGAGGAATGTTAGCATTATTATTATAATTATAATCATTATTACTATTATTGTTATTAATATTATTATTATTATTTTGTCTCCAAAACTTATTTCATTTGTTTTGAGACAATTTTACAAAGTTGGATGAAGATGCAAACGTTTTATTTTCATGTTTTATACTAAACTACTAAATTATTCTTTTAAAAATAATTTGAGGCAACCTTGCGCAAAATTTAGATTTTTTCCCCCTCAAATCCAGTTGCCTTCACACTGATTCCATTAACCTTTCACCAAAAACACTTCCTTAGCATTTGTCAATTGCTTGCAGGCACTCCGGTTTCAGCTCTGGCTGCTGAAAGTGCACGTCACATCATCTCAGCATGTGCTTATAGTGAATCACTCATCTTATTTCATTTTAAATCATTCTGATCTTTTCTAAGGTGTGGCTTCTGCTGCTTCATCCTGTTTGTGCTGAATGTGCCGTTTTAGTAATATTCCTTACAGGTTTATTGCCAGAGTGCACCTCAATGTTTAATAAAGAGAATCATAAAAATAAGTTTGTCGTAGGGTGATTCTAGACGTTATACACATAATAAACATAAGTATTAAATTAGTGGATTGATTTTTTTTATATTTTGTATCTAATAGATCTAAGGAAAAAATTACTTTGGTTGTTAAAAAAATCTTGTGTTATAAAATATGTAAACGTTAGGAGAATGTGGTTTTTGGTATGGATGCCTTGGTGGTTGTTATAAATACCGAAAGGTTTGATTATAATTCTGATTACAAATTAAAATACAGATTCCAGAAATTGAAGCAAAAAAAAGTTATGCATAAAGAATAAGTAGCCTTACAAGGTACCCATTATTTTTGACTCATGCTAATAACTAAAGCCCATATTTTGAATATTTTGTAAACATTTTATAGTTTTCGAAAAGTAGATTTAGCCCATTGTAGCTTTTTGTTATTTTTTACTTTCTCTCCCTTACTTCCCGGAAAATGGTGAATTTTAGTCATAAAAACTATTATTGCCAGGCCCTCAGAATGTAAAAAAGGATAAGTCTTGTTCCTGTATATACTAAATACCTTCCTTTTAACACATTATGTAGTCAGACACCATGTTTTGTGGGTACTCGATACCAAAAAAATCGATTGACAGCAAAATGTCTGACCAACTGACCAACCAAAGTGTGTCAATCTGTAGTCAACATTAGCATCTAAACCGTTCAGCTGATTTTCTCAAAAATTGATATTCCTTTTATTATTATTATTATTATTTTTTTTTAATATATATTTCTATTTACTTTAATTTTATTTTTTATACATTTATATTTACTCTGTTTTAGCTGTTTTTAATGCTATAGAAATCACATATTTGGCTCAGAAATGATTGAAACAGATATGCGTATTAAAATATTGATGTTAAGAATAAAATGGGTTATAACCCAAAAATCTGGGTCCTACTAATATTAAACAATGCCACTAATGCATGTAAAGCTTTGCCAAGTTGTCTTTTATTATTTCATTTGCAAATCATCTGATTCTAAGTTAATTCACCTTATTCATTTCTTCATCTAGGATATTTGAGTATAGATTATTTGAGCTTTATTCAAACAATTCAGTTTCAATGGCACTGTATTACTAATCATGTTCATTGCTTCATACGAGAAAGTCAATTCCTATCTTCGTCTCCCATTCATCTGCAAACCTAGCTTCTTTTTCCTTCTTGAATTGAACTCATTCATAATGTATCCGTTTTAGCCATTTGTTCTGGGTGTTGGTGGATCTTAATGTCAAGGAGTGTTCCTTGTGCATTTTATTTAAAAGATTGACACAAAAGCTTCCTTACTTAGATTTTTTAATAAATGAAGAATTTTTACTTATGCTTAACATACTCGTCTACCTCAAAATGGCATTTTCCATGAAAAATTGGAATTTTTGTTTTTCATTGTTTCTTGTGAATTTAGAGGTATGCTTTCCAATGCTTAAAACGGTTTCTCAGTTCTTTATTTATTAGTACTTTTCTGATTACATGCGCATATGGCCATATACCATGCCCCATGACCATTTGCTGTTCAGTTGGCCATGATCGCTAAAAATGAAAGTAAAAATGGATTTTTTTTCTTGAAAAATTTGTGAAAAATTGCAATTTGTGTGAAAATGCAATTTAAGTCCTTTCGTTGTCACATTCAAAGTATAATTTCCGTTTTGGACACTCTTTTTTAAAGTTAAAAATTTAGTGTTTGCAGACAACCTTTTTAAAGCTAATGAATCTTAATCTGGCTGTTCCTTAAAGTTACTTTTTCTCTTGTTGGGATGAACTTGAAGCATCATAACTCTTATAATTTTTAAGATATCTTTCTGTTATTTAATAAAAAAGAAAGCATAAGACTCAGTTCTTTTGCCTGAACTGCAAATTGATTTAGAAAATACATATTATCAATTATAAATTGCTCTGTTAATCAATATATATTTTTGAATTTGTTAATACCTAATTCTACAAGTACACGTTTAATTTCAGATGTATGTCACAAATAAAAATGTTAAATGACGAGTACCTTAAGAAAGTTCAGAGCTTTTTTAAAGATACTAAGTTTTCTCCTGATGTCTACATTTACAATCTTCTTGACAGTCATTATGTCACAATCAAGTTACAATTGACACAGACTTCTCTGTATTCAATTTGTTCTTTTCATTTGTTTGTCTAAGTCCTCTTTCGTTGTATTTGTATCTAACAGGTTTTCATTGTATTTTCTGATAAAATATTAAACAAAGGAACATATGACCAAGTCATTTATGGCTTCTCAAGAATTGTATTTGTAGACCCGTTATGCTTTCCACAGTTTTGTGTTCAGGAATATTGCTTTAAGCCAAAGTGAAGGTGACTGAAGCACCTTTGTCCAGGAGGTCCTAGGTTTCAGTCTTGACAGTGGCAGGATTTTCAACACTGGCTAAATAATAATAGTTAAGTCGAGTTTAACACCGTCTAGAGGAGAATTCTAGTGTCCAGCTACACTGATTAGTAGTTTTCCATGGTTTCTCCCATCAATACCTGGTGAATGCCAGAGCAGTAATCTAACAAATGGACAACAGGCAGTTCACAATCTTTCCTTCCCCTTCCATTTCCTATTTTCACCCCTGACTTACACACGCATCAATTGGCATTACACTACCAGGTGGGAGATACCTGGATAGGGAAAATCCCGCTATGCGATGGTAGCGGGGTTTTCCCTATCCAGTGCCAGATTTCACCATCTTAGTGAGGGATGATCATCACCACCTTGCAAGGAAAAAACAAGCTCTAGGCTTATGGAACTAATGACGTTAGAAGTTGGCATGCCCAGAATTCTCTAATCAATCAACAGAAGATGACCGTAAACCAAACCAACCAAATCTCATGGTCTCTATGAAAGTAATCTTCAAAATAATTTCTTAAAATTTTGTGATGTAAAAATTTATTTCCGTCATAATATCTATGATGTATTGGAGAAAATTTAAATCTTTTAGAATCTTTCGTTGTTGTTGTTGTTTTTTTTCAGCCTGTTTGTGAAATCACTAAAAAATCCTATGTTCTATCAGCAGCTCTTTGTTTAATAACAGGTAGCACAAATTTTGTATACCATGTTAAACCGTCCAAACCTAATGTTAAATTCTCTGGAGCAGATTTGGATAACCTTTTTACTTTCTCATATAATTAGGTATATACAAAGTAATACACACACACTACAAGAGAAAGTTTCAGAAAATCGATTTCGAGATTTCAACAGAAATACACGTTTTGGACTCCTAATATTGAAAATGTGGTTCAAATTTTTGAGGTACTTTTTTTAAAAAGACTCAATTTTGTCTTTAAATTTCTTGTAGAAATAGAGACATTGATAAAGGCAGCATAGATCTGATTTCGCTGTTAACTATTCATTTTCAAAAGTTACAAATATTTGAATTTTTTTGGTGTCTTCCTAAAATTTCAATATTGAAGATAGCAATTTTTTCTTCAAATGCAATTTATTCTTCAAAATTAATTCTTTAATAAACATCATGTACAATTTCTTGAATATTATAGTTGTTTCCACATCATTTTGACTGAAATATGGGCAGTCTTAAAAAACATTAAAAACAACATTTTTTCAAAACTGCTTCAAATTTTTTCCTTTAAACATTCCATTGGTTTCCCTCTGTCTTGTGGAAGTTGAAGTCATGTATCTTAGTTCTTCAGGGTTTTCAAGATCCATTCACACATAATTTTCAAAATGAATATGATGTTTGTGTTAAATGTGTGAATTCAAATACAGGAAATTGATATTAACCCCCATGTGCCACTTTTATAAAAACATACAATACAAAATTTATTTAATATACACAATAATTAAATTTATTAAAATAAATATAGTAACTAAGTAAGCGAAATAATTAATGTTTGCTAGCAAAATATGCATTTTTCTTTAAAATTTCTTCTTGTTTGTATCAACAGACCAAAAAGAGTGGTGCTAGTCTCATTTCCGGCAAAAACTCAGTATTTTCGAAAATTGCATAATTTTAACATTTCAAAATTACAAAATTGAAAAAAGAGAATTTTGCTTAAACAAAATCTGTTCTAAAGAATTAAAAATTAGTGGTTTTTGCATAATTTGTACATAAAATTAATGCAATAAAAAAATCTCAAATCCTGCTCCAAATTTTTTACTTGCATTGAAGAAGGAATGCTTAAAAGAATGACACAGGTCTCATTTTTGCTGAATTATCGAAATTTAGAAAAAATGCAAGAAAGGATGTACATTTATAGCTCCAGTAGTTTCTTAATGAAATCTATTACTCTAAATAACGGCATTAATTAATGTCATGTAGAATTTTTTTAAAAGATGTGTAATTTTGATTGACTAGTGACAATTTTGTAAAAATTCATAAACAAGATTTACTCTGAAAACAGTAGAGCAAAGTACACTAATAAAAATTGATTGTGGCAACTTCATGATTGTGAGATCTTTAAATCATTTCATGAAGAGGGGTTTAAAAACATTAGAAGTTTTTGCCTAATTTTGTTTTATATGGTGACAAAGTTAAAATTATTTTCTTGTCTGTCCTTTACATTCAATACTGAAGCTTAATATTTCTTTCTTAATGTATTCTATTCAATGCAATCTTTCATTAATTTCAGGTACAGGTATTTCAAAATGTTCATAGTTTTTGTATAATTAGTTTTATAGTTCTACTATTTTCAAGTGAAGGCTGATGTTAGAACGATAGGTGCAATATTACAATATTGCGTAATTGCTACCAATAATATGAGAAAGTAAGTGTATGTGAAAGTTATGGCACAATTAGTTTAATATTTTAAAATTGTTTAGAGGCCTTGAAAAGGTTAAGTAATATTTAACTGTATCAGGTAATTATTTCTGCTATATTTTCACATTCATTTTTCATATGAACCTCTTGTCAAAATTCTGACTGCATGGAGCATAGTGAACAAAGAAAGTGAAATTTTGAGTTGAAAGGAAAAGTGGTCATTTCAAGAGATAAAATTATTTCTTAAACAACTTGCTACTGTAACTGTTTAAACAAAAACTAAGAACTCCAAATGATGCATCTTAAAGATGTGCTTTCTTAAGACAAATTCACTTTATACGTTCATGTCTAAAAGGTTCATCTCATTTTTGTGTAGAATGGGTTGGCCTTTCAATAATTGTTCTTGTGTTTGTGATATAGTCATCAATTGCCTGCCAAAATTGTTTCAACTGGAAAAATAAATTCAGAAAAAGAATTGTTAGCAAGTTATAATCTGTTTGATTTCCTTTTGATTTGGTCTGATATGCTTTCAGGTGCTGTGCTAAGTACTTCTAGACATGACTTTCTGAGTCTATGAAAGAAATTTTGCCTGAGGTTATGTGCATTTGTAATGCTCACTGCTCTTCTGCATGAGTTGATTCTGATGCTGCCTGCTAATAATGTGTTAGGTGATAGTGCTTGAAAAAGAAATGTTATGTATGCAGTCTTCATTGGTGGGCCCTCCCCCTTTCTCGCTGGCTGGTGAGGAGGATGTGGAGGCATTGCTGGAGCGGCTTTTGGCACATCCCAATGATGATGACCTGATGGCAGCAGCTAAAACCTCAGGAAAACAACTTTATGCATGTTTACCTCTTGCTGAGCGCAAGATGAAAATAAATAACATGGTGAGTAAACACATGGCAATATATAATCTTTAAAACCATTGGAACATTCTACCCTTTTTGTTGCCCGTTTTGAAAATGAAGTGTTCTTCATCTTATAGGAGTACCACTCTCCTTTCAAAGCCAGTGTGTGTTCGGTCTAAACTAAATATTTCTTAAAATAGCTGAAAACAAAAGAAATATATTAATAGTCTCATTGTTTATGTAGAAGCAATACAGAAAATACACATCTTGAAATCTTTGCATTAATCATCATTTTGCTTTTGAGTTTTGTTATTAGTAAAGTAGACATTCTCTCAAAACATTATAATTAAAATTGTTCCTTTATGTGCTAAAATGTAAATGAACAAATATTTGTGCACTTTTTTTTCCATTGAAGTAAAAATAATAATTTAAGTCATGAGAAAAATAGAGTATACTTTTATTATCTTGATCAAGAAAAGAGTATATTCTGAAATGCTCGTCTGATTTTAAAATAACTAATCTACCCATGACTAATAAGAGTCCATATCCCCTTTTTTACGACCCCCTGCTTGGTTACATCATCAACATCAAAAGGCTAAGCCTTGCCTGTGAAGTTACTGTTTCTGTTCTGTGCACTTCTTTTCATAAGTAAATAGGATGTACATAAGTTATTTTTTAAATAAGGTTTGTTTGTGAATTAGAGGGAAAATTACTCGCAGTAGGAATGCACTTTAGCTTCCAGTATGCTGGTTTAGACACCATTTGCAGCCATGACATCGAACTGTTTGCTAAGCTCTAGAAATTTATGTTTTAAGTCAATTGAGTCGCCCACTGACCGTGAAATGCGATCTGTATTTTGAGTCTTGAGTGCAAGAAACTTGTCAGCAGCAGAAATTCACTGTCAAATTTGTGAAGTTTATGGTGATAATCCAATGAATGACAGTAAAGTTTGCAATTTTGCAAAAATACAGTGGGTGACAGTCTTTTGGATGGGAACAACTGAATAAGAACCTTACAGTTCAGACCTTGCACCGTGATGTTTCACTTGTTTTAGTACTGAAAGGGGTGTTCGTTTCAATGATGATGAAGTGAAAACTGTAATCGTAAATGGGACTTCTTTATAGGTGGCAGATTTCTTTGCTTTGGACTTCAAACACTTGTTGAAAGGTATGACCAATGTTTGAACAAAAACGGAAATTTTGTAGAAAAATAGATAAAAGTATATAGAATATGGAATAATGAATATTTTAATATTTTCAGTATTGTTCTTTTGAATAAAAAAACAGACCTTATTTAAAAATAATTCTCGTATATTCCTTATCCTTTACTGTCCTTTTGTGGTAAGAAGTTCTTGTCTATCTTGCTCTCTTTATCAAGATTTTGCCTTAGTTATTTCTGCTACTAGTGCTGACAATGAAATGTATTTATTTTATTTCGAAAAGTCCACTACCCTAGAAAATATTGAAGTAATGAGGGATCTTCCACACACACTTGTATTCACAGCAACACTCATAGACTATTAGCCGGCGCTGCTAGGAAGATCATTGCATACACCATGTGCAGAGGAAGAACATAAGGATGGACTTTCTTCCTGAACAGCCAACTTTACAGAGAGAATTATCAAATGTACATTTTAAATCAAACTAACATCAAATGAAAATAAATTCCTCAAATATCACAAATAATGCATTCAATACTATTGATAACTGACTGGACTTTTATTCTTTCAATAACATGCTAAATTCATAAAATTAAGTTGCAGCTAATTTCAGATGAAGACAGAAAATTGGTATTCCCTTGAGACACCACGCGGTCGCCATGCTCTGCAGCCAGAACTGTGCACTGTAAGCCGGTGGCGCTCGTTGCAATGCGAAAATGAGGGCTCTATGCTGAAGCATAGCGATCCGTGGCAAAATGGTAAATGCATTTAAAAGAGTTGAAAAGGGTGACATGGTGCACTGTATAGGTGCGCTCAAGACGTCAGAGAGAGCATTTATTGATTTCAAAATGATTTCATACATATCCATATATCTTGAATATTGAATGCCATTAAATCAAAAGAGGACATTCCTAACATAATAAGATTTTTTTCTATTATCTTGAGTTGTACACCCTAAGCACAACCCACTAGTGCACAACCTTGTGATTATGGTTTGGGGGTAATGAGGTGACATCATGAGACACGAAAATCACTCTGACAAACAGCAGCTGGCTAAATAGAATCTGACTTTGAGTTACGCCAGTGATGATGACAATCAAGGAATGTAGCCTACTCATAAAAGTAGGCCAGTCAAAATACGAATAAGTTCCTCTCTTAATAGAAATTAATCCTAAGATTTTAGTTATGTTTTTGACTTGTTTAGTAGAGTCCAAGAAAGTTACTAGCAAAAGCTCTGGTGAATCGAAAGTGAGCTTGACTCAGAAACTTGAAAAAACGTCTTCAAAACAGTGATTTTTCAACCTAAAAATTTGTATTGTCGGGCCCTGGTAACGACATAGTGTTATAATGAAATAGTTATAGAAAAATCTTGTTCCTATGTGTAATTACTTCTCTAACGCTCTGAATTGCACTGTCTGAGTACTTTCATGGCGGTATTTCTGTGTGTGCATTTTTATATTATTTTATTTTTACATCAAAAACCTTTAGAAACTGAATGTGACGTGCTGCAGGAAGAAGTGTAGTCTATTTTTAAATCTGGGATCCCTACCCTAAGCCATTTTCAAATTCAATTCTGAGTACCTGCAGAAATAATAATTGTTAACAGAATATTCGCTCTTATGTAATAAAATATATTTTCAGGGACAAATCAACTTCATAGATTTGGGCTATTTTTACTCATCATGTCCTTCGTGAAGTCATGTACTTCTGCTGTGACAACATGGAGAACTATAATTTGAATAACTATTATTTCCCTCTACCTCTATTTCCCTCCTTCACAGATAATGAAGTTACATTTATGTCCAGAAGCAAAACAAGGGTCCATCTCAACATTAGCTCAAAGGATGAGAGAAACTGGATGAAAAATCTGATCGAGAAGAGAGCCCTTGACCCAGAAGCTGAAGTACACCTGTTACAGGTTGTTTAGAATGATACCATCCAAATTGTAAATAGTACATTAACCATTGTTAAAATTAATACTACGAGAATTCATACATCTCAAAATCCATCATTTATTGGTTCGCCGTTATATCTTAGTTTTTTGTTAGATCCCTGGCCATGTGGGAATAGTAGGAAATGAAATAGCTGTCCTGGCAGCAAAGCTCGTCACAAAGAAAATAGAGTTGACATCCTTACAGTCCTCACAGAAGGCACTAAGCTCTTTATCAAACGCTCTGCTCTCAGTGAATGGCAAACAGAGTGGCAGGACTCAGATTTTAAGCTCACGAGAATCAAGGGTTTCATAAATCCTTGCTCTTCATCTCGTGGTTCTAGACATGAGGAGATTATTCTAACAAGAGATCGATCTTCCACGGACATCTTCACGGAGATATTTCTTTCACGGATATCTTCTCCACAGGGACCCATATCATACTGCAAAACAGATTTTGCAGTGGAGCATGTTCCTTTGCACTGTGGTGAGAGAGCCGCTGAAGGCATTGCCTTGCTAGCTCTCTATTGGAGATACTTGGAAATGACAAATCTCTCTTCAAGCTTTTTACAACAGACTTATCTTCAACCTTATCTGAGAGAAGAGGATAATGCCAATTATATTGCTTTTAATTGAAGATTTTGAAGTATATATCTGTCAATTTTCTACTTAACTTTTTTTTGTATTTGGAAACGTTCATTTTCAGTTTTTACTTACATTTTACTTTGCATTTTTTCAAAATATTCTTTGAGTTTGGCACTACCAGTCTTAAAATAATTTAACACTTGCGTCTATGACCTTAGTTTTTGAAACACATTTAAACTTCATCGTCATCACAAAATGTCCTCAAACATCATCCTTCCCATGATTATGAGAATTTACAATGTAAAATGTGGTACAATAAATTTACGATAATACATAGTAAATGGTTGTCTGTAATAATGTTAATCTCATGGCAAATAATTTTCCCACCAACTCGATTTCACCAGGACCTGAGAATGAAAAAGTGGATAAATATTTTTCATCAAAATATATATATAGGAAGAGAGGGCGCGATGGAGTGACAGCACAAGGTCTGTCGGGTGTCGGGTTCTGCTAGTTTACTATATATATATATATATAAGGCACTAAGCACAAATATATATA